AACCGCTGTCAACTACATGGGAGTCCAGGGACATAGCCATTACACCAACTGCTGGTCCCTTTGGTTCTTTTTTTCTAATTATCTTGGCTATTATTGATCTTTTTTTTTTTTTTTATAATTTTTATGTTTTAGAATCAGTATGTCTATTCCACAAAACCAGCAAGCAAAAAACATGCTGGACTTTGCATCGTGACTTCAGAAAATATATGGATAGGGGACCAGTAGTTAACATAATGGCTATGTCGCTGAACTCCCATGAAGCCGACCACGGTTCCAGTCCCGGACCTGGTGGCTTAAAACTCACGCTGGGCGCGTGTGCGTGCATGTCCAAGATCCCGAGAGGAGAATGGAGGAGAAGGGACTGCGGCGTGACCATCCCCTGGGGGGTGATTTCTTGCTTTCTATCTCTCTGTCTTTCTCTGTCTGTCTGGCGAACGCACACACCCTATAGCAAAAACCTCTCCCCTTCCCCCCCAAAAAAGAAAACATATGGATTGATGGGGAGAAGGCTTATGTTTTTAAAGCTTAAACAGTATATCCTTCCATTTATATAGATCTTAGTTTTTCTCTGCAATGTCTTACAGTTTTCTAAGCAGAGTCATACACAACTTTAACTAGATTTATTCTTACCTTATTTGAAATTCTGGAGGCAATATTTATCTCAATTTTGTCAATGCTGCTTTATTTATTGTATTTAGAAATAAAATTGCATGTTAATTTTGCATCCAGCAAATTTGTTGAATTCACTTACTAATACTGATCATTTTCTAAATCAACAACCATGTCATAAAAATAATGACTTTTTTTTCTTTTCTAATCCTTGTAACTTTTATTTAATTTTCTTCTATTGTACTAGCTGTATAAGCTAGGACCTCCAAAACAGTATTGAACAGAAAAGGTAATAAATAACATTCTTCATGTCTCATTTCAGAAAAAAAAAGTTTTAATACTGCACTATTAAATAGGAATGTTTGCTGTAGGTGTTTTAGATAACCTTTTCCAGATTACTTTTTTCTCTATCCCTATTTTGCTCAGAATTTTGTTTTACAGTTTGTTTTATTTCTTTCATTAGCAAGATGGGAAGATATAGAGAAAGACAAGCAATCTCGATAGGGTCTCAGGCCACAAACCCCTCCCGACCACCTCACTCTACCCCCGGACAGCCAAGATCACAGGCACACATGCGCATGCCTGGAGCACACAGATCAACCCAGGAAACAAGTCCTTGATCTTCCACATGGCTTCCAGTACTGCAGAACACCGCTACGCCATGGCTGGGCCCAGCTTGCTCAGAATTTTAACAAAGAACAAATGTTAAGTTTGATTAAATGTTTTTTGGCATTTGGTCATACTGGCATACAGCACTGTCATTACGGCATTTAGAATACTGTTCTACCCGTATCTTTTCTCCTTTTTTCTTTAATGTAGTGAATTACACTGATTTTTTTTTTTTCATTGTTAAACCAACCTTACATACTAGAAAAGCACAAATTGGGTCAAGATATATTACTCTTCCTAGATATTATAGATTTAATTTGATAAGATAAAGGGACTTCAACAAGTTTGTGGAAAACCGCAATTAAAGTGCGAGTTTATTTTGGTACAAAGAAATTTTGAAATCCAAGCAAAGGTTTTTATACTATGCATTTTTCATGAGCGTTTTGAACTTGTATGTTATTTAGGATGTTTCATCTATATTTATGAGTGATTTGCTATAATTTTCTGTTCTTGCTATATCCTTGTCATGTTGCAGTATCAAAATTATGCTAGCTTTACATACTAAATTGTGAAGTGTATCCTTTATCCCCCTATTCTCTAGATGATTTTATGGGTGAAATTTTGTTTGACAGGTATTTATCTTTTTAGATACTGAAGGTATGTTTCCTTGTCTCCTAGCTTCTTGGTTTCTGTTGAAAATGGACCAACCTGTTTCTGGAAATCTCACAACTGCTCCTTTGAAGATAGTATTTTTTCTCCCTCCCTCTCTCTCGATACCCTTAATATTTTCTCTTTGATTCCAGTTTGCACAGTTACACTATGGCACATCTAGGTGTGATTTTCTTTTAATGTTACTCTGCTTGAGATTAACAGTGCTTCTTGAATGTATGCCTTAGATTCAAGAAGTCTTTTTAGAGCTTTAGAGATTTCTCAGCCCCATCATCTCATCAAAAATGGCTTTGACTACATTCTTTCTCTCCTTTCTTTCTGGGACACTGTAATTATCTTTCCCCTGTATGTGTGTGCACGCATGCATGTGTGTGGTACATGTGTGGTGCTGGAGACAGGGTCTTACTGTGTCGCAATCCTCTTGCCTCAGTCTCGGAAGTAGCTGGGATTACAGGTATGCGACACCACACTTGGATTTTTAGAGTGGGTTGAGAATTGAACCCGAGTCACTCAATGGCCTCAGACTGCTGAGCAGTAATATCTAGTACCCACTACTAAAGCTGGGCCCCAAATTATTTTTCAAAACATTTATGACTGGTCAAAATGGAAGATTAAAAATTTCTAACGTATTCCATTTGACAAGTGGGGTCTATGTCTCCTCTCAATGAAGCTAAGCTTGTAGTGTGACATATAAACTGAATGTGGAAACGTGATAACTGTGCCAGGGTCAGAGACTAGGGAGTTGACATGCTTCCTTGCTTTCTCTCTCTTGAGACACTTGCTCTGGGAAAAGGCAGCTGCCATGTGAGAAGTCCAAAATTACTGAGGTAGTCTGTCATTTATGAAGGAGAAGTTGGCCAGCCCTAGAAATTCCAGCGTCCCTGTGGAGGCCTCTACTCCTAACTCCTAGGTTTAGGAGTAGAGTGCAGAAGCCATCTGGCAGGGTTCTGCCTCAGGAGGAAAATCAAGGCCATGGACATAGACTGCAGTGCAGTCGTCCCAGGCATTGCTAGCTGTCTGATTCAGCCTATTTGAAAACCAAGACATTGTAGAGCACATGTAAGCCAAACTTAAAATGCCCTGACTGAATTCCTAACTCTAGGAATCACTAACATAAAAAATGGTGGTTGTTTTATGCCAGATAGTTTTGGGGTCATTTGTTATTATTGGCAGAGAGTCCACAGAGGCCTGAAACATTCCTGCACCTTCACACTGGGTATGATGAAAATGATAAAGCTCTGACCAATTTTTTTTTTTTTTACTTTCTAATTTTTTTTTTTTTTTAAATTATTATTCATACATTAAATTGCTATACATTATTTAGATTGTGAAGAGACTTTACCCAGCATGATATATACCTCAGTCCAGCCCAGTTGAGACCACTATACACATCCTCATCAACAGATAATAAACCTTATCTGTGTCCCACAAGTGTCTTACTTCTCTATTCCCCCCTCAAATTTCCTACTATCTTCCCCTCCCACACTCTTTAAAATCCACTTTATCTCTAGGGTCCATTACAATTTGTAATACTTTTATGTTCTCCAGTTTTTTAGTCTCTACCATAGAGTGCAGTCGGTATATATTAAGTAGAGACATATAATGTCTCCCTTTTCATAGTCTGTCTTGCTTCACTCAGCAACAAATCTTCTATATTCATCACTTTCAATCAAATTCCATGGCCTTGCTGTTTTTTATGGCTGAAGAGTATTCCATGGAGTATATGTGCCACAAGTTTTCAATCCATTCATCTGTTTGTGGGCATTTGGGAATGTAAATTGGTCCGCTCTGACCAATCTTAACCTGGGGCATTTCTCAGGGTTGTGTTCGCAGGTAGCCACCTTGAGAGATGAGTAACACCTCCCTCCTGAAGATAGCTAGAGGTACTATAGTCAAAGATTACTTTAATACAACCGGTGACTGAAATATTTCAAGGCTGAGATTTATTTCCGAGGGGTTGCACTTCTGGGTTCCAACCTAAGCACAGAGGGCTTAGCAGCACCAACCCTAAAACTTGGTGGGCCCACACATACCTTTATTTCTCTAGCCTTAAGTATCCATCTAAAGCTCTACTCAGCTTCTCAACCACCTTTCCCAGAATTAGTACATGCTCAGGTGACAAGTAAACCGAAATGCCAGGCTCATCTTTCTGCTTGAATAATATTTTGCTGCTATATTTGAACACATGTCTTTTATATTTTCTCCAACTTTTCTTATTGTTTTTGTCATAGTTGTTGTTGGACTGTTAATCCAACTTTATCCAATGTTACCAAAAGTGGAACTCCTCCAGAAACAGATTTAGTATTTCATAGTTAAAGGGATTAGAAGTTGTTTTTTCCTCTTTCCTCCTAATGAGTTCGACCCACACAGAATTTGTTTCTAAAATATACATTCTGTCAATCATCTTTAAAGGTGATATGTATTTTCAAATAAATCAAAAGGACTACACCTTGTTAAACTATTCAAATATCTTTATAAATTATCATTTACCCAAAAACATTTTATCTGTGGAGTAGAAGACAAACCATCTCAAATAAAACATTAAAAAAACATATTTTTTAAAGAAGAAAAAAATTGTATCAAAGTAATTTAAATTTAAATTGTATTTAAATTAAAGCTGGCCCCAAAGTGCAGCAATTAAGTGCTGCACTAAGAAAGCCAGATCCCACATGGCCAACCAGCTTGAAAAAGACTCCGCGTGCACGCATGCTTAGGATCCTGATGGGATGACGAACTGAAGGAAAAAGGATGGCACAAGACCAGGTCCTGCCAGAGCTGGGGGAAGGCAATGGTGCATTCTCTCTCTCCTTCTCCCTCACTCATGCACATGCACATTCTGGCATTAAAAAAAAAAAAAAAAAAAAAAGTTAATTAAGTATAAAGGAGTTCAAAAGCTGTATCAGCCTTTATATTTTAATACATTCCTCTTCTGATTATCTAAACATGTACTAACATCTAAAAATAATGTCTTTATCGTGACTTCATGTCTTAAAAATATTCTAAATACAGTTTTTTTTTCTTGAATTCATTTTTCTCTTGGAAAACTACATGAATGTTAAAGACTTTAATCAGTGTAAAAGTTTAGGGGAAACATTATGTCTGCCAACACTTACAGTGAAAAATACGAAAGTCAATATACGGATGAGAACCTCTTCTTTCTGATTCAAAACCTGCTCGGCTCCTTACACGTACATCTCCTGGACAGAATGAAAAACGAAACATAAATTTAGTCGGCCATTATCTGAGAAGAAGCTCGCAGATGCAACAAAAGTCCATATCTAATGCGCTCGTAATAAGTAGCAGCCTACCAATGAGAGATATGGAACAAGTAGGTAAGGGATGACTCATCTGAAGGGGAATCACAAATTTTTACTATTAAGTTGTAAGACTAAATAAGAAAGATATTTTTAAAAAATCTACCCCTACAATAATAATTATTATAACCAATATTTTAAGGTTAGTCTTCTGAAAGACGTCTCAAGTATATAAAAATCCAATCTAACATCTTATTATGGAGATATATATATATAGATATATAGATATATAAAAATAATATATATATAAATATAAATATTTTTAGAGAGAGAAAGATTTTTGCTATAGGTAACGAGTGCTCACCAGAGAGACAGAAAGCAAGAAATTACCCTCTAGGAGATGGCACACCACAACCCCTTCTCCATTCTCCTCCCGAGATTTTGGGCATGCATGCACATGTGCCTGGCATGAGTTTTAAGCCACTGGGTCCAAATTTGAACCACAGTTGACTACATGGGAGTTCAGCAACGTAACCATTATGCCATTTGCTGGTCCTTGGAGATAAAATATTTAAAAATGGCTCTTGGAAACAAAATATGTTTTACCAGAGGGAGAAAATTTTCAGCACACAACTTCGAAAAGCCATAGTAAGAAGCAAATATTAATAAGTGTCTACTCTGTGCCTACAACTATACTATGGGCTAAATAATATATGAAAAATGGAAAATACATTACCTATTCTCATGTAATTCAAAATTTTATAAATGTGCAAAAAGAATTAAAACGTTAAAGACTTTGCCCTAAGTGTTTCATTTGATAAATCTTCTCTTTATTCACTGACAGTGGGTATACACCCAAGGCCTTTTGCTAGGTCTTAAACTATGGCCTTTATATGCTCAGTACTGTTTCCATATGAAGTGACTTTGAGATGTATTTCTCTAAATAGCAACATACCAGGTGCTCTTTTTTGTGTATCACAGGCATTATTTACTTGTATAATCAAGGCTGAGAATAGGAATGTTAATCCCTACTTCACAGATGCAGAAACTGAAACTGTGTGAGGCTAAATAGCATTACCCATGCCACAAGGTTAGTGCAGAGGATGAAACCCATGGGTTCTAAAGACTGCACTCCAAGCTTATAACCTGCACATCTTCAGCACCTATACCAGTGCTCTTGTAATTCTCTTGCCTAGAAGGCTCTCTTGCCTGCACTTTGTTTCTCTAAGACAGACCATCTCATCTTTCAAGGCTCCTTTCAGCTACTGTGACCCCATCCTACAATGGTTAAACACCTCTTTCACGCAGCTTGAAAATCACGCCAGGCACATATGCATACATGCCCAAAATTTCAAGAGGAGAATGGAACAGAAGAAACTGTGGCATGGCCATCCTCCTAGGCGGTGATTTCTCAGTCTCTGCCTCTCTCCAGAGAGCACACAGGCCCTACAGCAAAATACAAAACAAAACAAAACAAATGACTGTGGTTTTTGATCTGAATGGAGAATGGAGTTATATTTACTGATGGCAAAAGACTAAAAATGAACAGAAGGAACATAAATCGTTTTTATTATACGTGTTAATTGTGAGGTATACATAATATACCTACATGAAGATGTTTTACAGAATTAAAGAAAATACTAATCTAAACTTCTGATTTTTTTTTTAAGAGGTTTTTGCTATCGGGTGCGTGCGCTCACCAGAGAGAGAGACAGAGAGACAGAAAGTGAGAAATCATCCCCCAGAGGGGATGGCCACACCGTAATCCCTTCTCCTCCATTCTCCTCTTGGGATCTTGGGCACGCACACACACATGCCCGGCGTGAGTTTAAGCCACCGGGTCTAGGACTTGAACCAAAGTCAACTAGGTGGGAGTCCAGCGACATAGCCATTATGCTAACCGCTGGCCCCATAAACTTCTGTTTTAATACCAGAATCTTGAGTATGTTTGTAGAGAGAGATGAAAACAGTAAAGAAGAAAAGGATGAACATTCATAAGGGAAAAATATGTACCAAAGAGTGTAGAATTAAGACAGATATCATACACGAGGTCAATTAAAGAGGGAAAAAGGAAGGAGAACAGAACAATACTAAGGGGAACACTTAGGCTCAAAAGTATGAAAAAGAATAATTAATGAAAGAGGCAAAGAAAAACAGAAGGAGGTAAAAAATAAAGATGGCTGGGAACCAGCAGTTAGCGTAATGGCTATGTCGCTGGACTCCCACGTAGTCGACCACGGTTCGTGTCCCGGGCCCGGTGGCTTAAAACTCACGCCGGGCGCGTGTGCGTGCATGCCCAAGATCCCGAGAGGAGAGTGGAGGAGAAGGGATTGCAGCGTGACCATCCCCTCTGGGGGGTGATTTCTCGCTTTCTGTCTCTATGTCTCTCTCTGTCTGTCTGGCGAGCACACGCGCCCTACAGTGAAAATCTCTCCAAAAAAAAAAAAAAAAAAGAATAAAGATGGCTCAATATTTTAAAGTTGAGAAATTCTGAGCATGAGTAAAAGAGTTACAGGAGACTTATCCAAGAAAAGATGAGTAAATTTGCCTATTAGTATCTTAATAGTGCATGTTTAAGAATATGAATTAAAGTCCAAGGAATTAAGGAGTATGTGGATGAAGAGATATATCTGGCACAGAGTGAGAAAGAGAAAGAACATATACATACAGACATCTAAATCCATTTTACCTTGTGGAATTGGGCAATATATCAAAAATTTAAGCACGAGAATAGAAGACGACAAGGAGCGAGTGGTCTTCCTTGGTGGTCACCTGAGAACAGAACAGATCTGGGGAAGGGACTACCTGAGAAAGATTTCATAGCCTCATTTTTTTTTTTTTTTTTTAGAAGTTTTTGCTATAGGGCGCGTGTGCTCGCCAGAAAGACAGAGAGAGACAGAGAGACTGAAAGCAAGAAATCACCCCCCAGGGGGGATGGCCATGCTGCAATCCTTTCTCCTCCATTCTCCTCTCGGGATCTTGGTCACGCACCCACATGTGCCCGGCATTTAAGTCACCAGGTCCAGGACTCAAACCGCGGTCAACTACATGGGAATCCAGCAACGCAGCCATTATGCTAACTGTTGGTCCCTACAACCTCATCTTTGTCCATGTTGGCATCAACAAATTATTTAGCAACTATAAATGGAAGACTGCTTTTTCTCTGCAGAATGTCCAAGACACAATTTAAACTGTATACTAAGGACAGTATCCCAATCATTAAGTCAGATTTCTCAATTACCTGTAATTCTAAAATGCCTCTCTTTATTCATATCACATTCAATATCAGTTTCTATGCTCTAAACTTCAGTGTAATGGATTGTTTTTGTTCTGAACAGTGATAAAAAGCTAAATAATGAAAATACTTCAAACCACATATAATAGTATAAAAATTAATTGATATTAGAACAAAACATACAATGCTTACCTAGCATACGAATGTACAACGCGGTCTGATCAGAACTGTCATAGGAAATAGCTCCACGTCTCTGGAAAAGAATATACACACATTTTATTATGCAATGACTAAATGGGATATGAAAATTCAATTTTAAAAACATGTATTATGTAGTATTTGTGAAGCACTGTGCAAGAGAAGTTGTATATACGAAATGAAATTAGCTATGGCACCTGCTCTTGAAATCTCTAGAAAGGGAGAGACAAGTAATTATACTACAACATGGTTAAGAACTGCCATAAAAGTGACTACTACCATAAAAGTGAGAAGCATGCAGCAGGGAGTACTCTGATCTAAGTCAGGAAAGGTTTTAGGGGTGCCATTTGAGTTGATTCTTAAGGGGTCAACAGAAGTTGCCAGATGGAAAGATGGAAAGAGAAAATACACTGGCTTTCCTGCTCCATCTCCCAGTCCCCAGTCACTCTTCACATAGATGCAACAATAAACATTTCAGCTACTGCTCAAAATTCTGATGGTTGCCTGCTGCACAGGGATAGAGTCCAAATCTAACGCTCTGATTTCCAAAGTCCTCCATGATCTGCCTACCTTTCTGTCTTCCTGTTCTACTACGGCCCCTCACCATGACTATGCAGCCATAGCTTGCTGTTCCACTGCCCTGGAACACTTATCACTTTCATTTCATTGGTAAATGAAATGCCAAATCTTCAGAGAGGCATTCCCTGGCTACCAAATCTAAAGCCTCCTGAGAAATACCCTATTCCACAGCTTCATAAGTCAATTCTCTAAGATGCACTTAGCTGAAATTATTCAAGCTACACAAGAGCAGATTTAGCAATCTGAAGACAAAGGCCAGCTGGTTACACGGTGGTTAAGGAAACTGGATCCCATGTAGATGACTACATGGTTCAAATCCCAGACCTGGCAGCTTGGGAAACACCCCAGGTAGGTGTGTGTGCATGTCCAAAGTCCTGAGAGGAGAGAGAATTGCAGTCTGGTCACCCCATCTCTCTCTCTCTTTCCTGTTCTGGTGAGCAAAAGTGCCTTATAACAAATTTTTCAAAAAATCTTAGATTTAAAAATCTATAAAGGGGACCAGCAGATGGTGTAATGGTTATGTTGTTGTACTCCTACACAGTTGACAGTGGTTCAAATATTGGACCCGGTGGCTTAAAACTCACTCTGGGTATGTGTGTGTGGATGCTCAAGATCCAAGAGGATAATGGAGAAGCGACTGCAGCATGGACATCCTCTTCGCTTCCTACCTCTCTGTCTCTTTCTACCTCTCTGGCAAGTGCACATGCGCTATACCAATAATCTCTCTCTAAAAAATAAAAAAAAAAAAAGATTGCAGCATGACTAAGCTGCATTGGGGAGTACTACTCTCTCTCCTTCTCCTTTCTCGCTCAAATCTGGAAGATAAACTGACTACACCTAATTAGAATCCAGTGTCTGTGGAAGCAGATTCACTCACTGCTGTATCCCCCGATCTAGAATCAATCCCAACATGTAGAACAGTGCCTAGCAAACAGAGAGTAACCAATAACATCAGACTAAATAACAAGTAAAAACATTCTTGAAAAGCAGTAATAAACGGAACTAGCACCATGAAGTATTAAAGTATAAAGTAATAAGACACTGCAAAAAGAAAAACCAATCAATGGGGAATCTGGAGTCAAGTCTAAGGATAGACAGTAATTCTGTATAAAATAAACACAGAACTTACAACCTGTGAGGGAAATATTGATTATTTAATAAATACTGTTAGATCAAGTGGTTGCTATATGGAATAACATAAAGCTATATTATTACCTTCCTAAACCAAAACTAATTACACATGGAACGAATATTCCAATGTAAAAAATAAGGCATAAAAATAAAGAAAAACCAGGATTGCACTAAAAAAACAAAATCTTAAATAAATGGTAAATAAGCAAGAACGGTTTTAACTGTTCTACAAAGCCTGTAAGTCATAAAACATTGATAAATTTAGCTACTTAAAAGTCAAATTATGGAGGCCAGCACGTGGCATGGTAGTTAAAGGAGTTAGACTCCCACATAGTCGACCACAGTTTGAGTCCTGGGTCTGGTAGCTTGCTTTCTCACTTTCCCTCTCTCTCTCTATCTCGCTCTGTCCATCTCTAGTCAAATTAAAAATAAATAAAGTCAAATAGCTCTTTATTAAAAAAAAAAAAAAGTCAAATTATGGGGCCAGCAAGTGGCATGTGGGACTCTCACATGACAGACCATGGTGTTCAAGTCTGAGACTTGGGTGGCCTGCTTTCTCACTTTCCTTCTCTCTCTCTGGTACGACTTAAAATAATAATAATAATAATGAATAAAATTAAATAATTATTTTAAAAAGTTAAATTATGATGTTAAAATATATCATACAAAAAGGCCAAAGACAAACCTCAAACCAAAAAGGAATTGAAGAGGTATGACAAAGGACTTATTTTTCTGTATGATACCTAAAGATAGACAAGCCTCACAATATTAGGAAAAACTAAACAGGGCCAGCTTCGGTGACATTGGTGGCAGCATACACTGATCTGCAGTGCTGGAAGCCATATGGCCAACTGTGAACATGTCCAGCACTCTCAGGCCCAAGATCCTGGCAAGCTGAAGGTTTGGGAAAAAGGGATGGTAGTGAGATGAGACCATGTCAAGGGTGTCTGCCTGTCTGTCTCTCTCTTGTACATGCAGTCTCATGAAATAAATGACAATTTTTTAAAAAAGAAAAAAAAGAAGAATTCTGTCGGAAAAAAAGGTAGAATATAAACATATTCTCAGGGAAAAAATAAGCCAACAAACACAAGAGAAGATGCCCAACTTCATTAACAAAAGAAATACACATTAAACTAATCAGGTAGCACTTTTACACATCAGATTAATGATTTTTTCCTCCTCATAAAACTCTGGTATGGGATTAACTGGCCCTCAACACCTATCTACAAATCTCAAGGAAAAACAATCACATATTTTTACTATTATCAAGAAAATTTACTTTATTTAAAAATCTCATTTGAATTTAATCAGCAAAATTATTCAAGTTTAATCAGCAAAATGACTCCCTAAAATGTTAATGATTAAAGCTTTTCATGTAAGAAATATCAACTAAAGTCTTATCTTATTTCATGGATCCTTAAAAAAAATAATACATTAAATTGGACCAGAAGATGGTGTAATGATTACGTTGCTGGATTCCCACATAGTAGACCCCATAGCTTAAAACTCAAGCTGGGCACGTATATGCAAATGCCCAAAATCCCAAGAGGAGAATGGAGGAGAAGGGATTATGGTGTAGCATACTCCCAGGGGGTAATTTCTTGCTTTCTGTCTCTATGTCTCTCTGGTGAGCACATACACCCTATAGCAAAAATCTCTTTAAAAAAAAAAAAAAAAAGCACATGAAATGTAAGAGGAACAAACAATTCAAATGCGTGTAAGATTCTATCAACATTGACTGTCTCCAAGGAGACAGACAGACACAGAGGTTAGGGAGAGGGCTTTTCAATGTATACCTTTATGACTTTTAAATTTTGTATCATGTGTTTTTATATATCATAAAATAAATTACATTAAAAGTAAAAACCTACAGCAAAGAAATCTACAAAAAAAAAAAAAAAAAAAAAAAAAAAAAAATGGTCGCAACACAAACAAAAAAAAAAAAAAAAAAAAAAAAAAAAAAAAGCATGGTCTGACATCCCAAGGGACTTAAAGTATAAAATTCCTGGCATTGTGTTTAAAGTGTCTTCCACCAAGAAAATCTGCTAAGGAGGCCTCCTGCAGTGTACCATGGTAAACTATTCTGAAGCAAAGAGCCACTGCAATCACTTGGTATTAAAAAAGCACCACTCATAACCTCCTGTTCTAATCCCCTCCCCAAGATATGTAGTTTATTAGATTACAAGCCTTTCCTTAATACTACCATATTATAGGTAAACCTAGTAGCTTGGGAAGAGCATAGATGAAAATATGTATTTTTATCAGCTAAAACACATTAATGAAACCACAGATATCATTATGTAACAGCTTGTCATGCTCAATACCTATCAACCTGCTGGTATCCAGTAACAACTTAGATAAATAACTTGTTAAAACAAATGCTGTTATTTCTAACAGTCCTTTTTAGGAGGGTGTTTGGCAATATTATTATTATTATTATTATTATTATTATTATTAATGTAAGAAGAGTACTTACTAAAACGGCCACTAACAAAAAGGTAAAATTTTCATTTATTACTTTACATATTAAAGATTATGAAAGTAAAAAACTGGATAATGAATACAAATTATATTATCATGTAACTATTGCATACTAAATTTATTTTAAGACAATCACTTTAGATTCAGATACAGAAGCACTATTTTAGATGTTAAAATCGTAGAGTCTGGGCCAGCCCCATAGCCTAGTGACTAGGTCAGCCAGATCCCACACAGCCAAGCACAGCTCGATCCCAGCCTGGGTGTCTAAAAAACACAACAGGCACATGTGTGTGTGCTCCAATCCCAACAGGATGGAGAAATGGAGGAAAGGACTGGGACAGGACTGCACCCCACTGGGGGGGGGGGTCTTCTTATCTCTCTCTCCTGGTGAGCTTACATGCCCTCTCACAATAAAAACAAAAATAAAAAAAAGGTAGGGCCTATATTAATCTGAAAAATCTGGCCAAAAAAGATAAAATTTTAAATATATATTAACAAATTCCTAGGGATGTACAAAATGTTCAGCTTGTTCTATTCATTATAAAATACTCATCTATTGGGTCATCAGAGAAGTCTGGACATATTTTTCTGGTTTTCTATGTAAAAATGCATCATGACTTTTCCAACGATCCAGCAGCTAAGGCCCCTGGCCTACAAATGCCAATTTTAAATGCTACCCTGAATCACCAGACACAGCTTTTACAAAATGAATCCAAATGAGACAAAACATTTTTTAAAAGAATGGGCTTTAAAGCATACATCTGAGCCTACTAACAAACACATTCTGATATTTACTAACAAACACATTCTGATATTTCATTCATCTACTTCATTAAGAATTAAAAAAAAAAAAAAGAATTAAGA